AAAAAAACCATTGTTTACTTGCCTCGGCTTACACCTTCATAGTTTTTGAGGACAAGATTATTCATCAAACGTTGCATAGAATTTCGCAATGTTCTTTTAGAACTTGGAGATTTTATAGAAGTTATCAGGGATGTCATTTTTGAAATTTCTGAACTATCCATCCGTTGAACGATTAAATCAACCAAACGACGTATAATAATCAAAAAAGGCAATTGACGAACATCATCTAGTTGTTTTGTTGCCCTTACAACTTTAGTAATACAGTTTATTGCCAAAGTCACATCAATATCATCTCCAAAAATACAAGACATTTTTGAGTTCTAAAGATAAAATATTAGTTAGTTTAATAAGAACAATATAAATATTAAACAAATGTATCACATTATACTAATATATAATTGTAAATTAGTCTCACAGTAAATTGAGTGATGTGCATAAAAATTAAGAGGACATAGCATCCGCGTGTGTTGTCTTCGTCTTACACACGTACTACAAAACAAATTTTAGTTCACTAGTTTYAATAGTGTGCTGTTGGTTTTGATATAGAGTGAATTGACCCATTATCAAACTTCTAGGTATTAGGTATTATCTGTGTTATCTTCTTATCTTATTGGTTTTTTTAAGATATTTTAATTTTTAAATGAGCTATGAATATGTAAAGTATACAATCCACTCTATTATCAAAACTAACAGCACACTATTGAAACTAGTGAACAAAAATTTGGTATGTAGTACTGTACTAATGTAAGACGGAGACAACACATGCGAGTGTGACGTCTTCCTAAAGCATAACCTAACCGGAAAATTAGCACGTTCCCAGGGTAAACTTTCCAAACTTGTTTAATAAGAGTAAAGGTGCATAAAAAAGTTTATAGATGTTATATAGACATTAAATAAACAAACAATGCTTACATTTACAGCTTCTAGAAAGTTGGACAGAATATGTTCTAAATAGGCCCATGCACCTCGGTTTTCGGAAGGATCAACTCGCATAGCAGTTTTCAAGTACACCACAATTCTCATGACAGAGTTCACCACACATTCCAATAAGAAAAATGATGCATCAAGAATGTTTGGAGGTTTTGCCGAACTTAAGTAATTTGCTATGAAACTTTCCATTTCATGCAATGTGAACTTTGGCATAAACTATAATAACATAAATACACATAATTAATTTAATATGTAATATTTGGGTGTAACTGGAAGGATGTATTAAATAAACTTTTGTTTTAATCAATATTTTACTAAGTCAAGTGGTTTGTTTTTTATGATTTTTTAAATTAACGTTTTTTTGAAGTAATTAATAGATTAAAAAGTGATATTTTTTAAAAATATTTATAC